ACCGGGGGGCCCCCCAGGGGAGCTCCCTCGGGGGCAACCGGGGGGGCCCCCTGGGGGGCCCCCTCTTGAGGCCCTTGCAACGTTTGAGACCCTAAGATTATTTGTACAATTGCGTCTCTTAGGCAAGAAGCCAACAAAGAAGGGTCTGGGGGGCCCCCCAGGGGCCCCGCGGTACTGCCCTCGGGGGCCCCCCCCCTTGTCTCCTGGCTGCGCAGCAGCTGCTGCATGCTGCTTGGGTTTTAAAAGAAGGCAAAGCAGCAAAAATGGCTTTAAATTATATTTTCAGCGAGTGTCGTTGCAGCAGCAGCAGCAGCAGCGGCAGCAGCAGCAGGAGCGACAACGCCAGTCGCGTCTCAGCCGCTGCCTGCTCCTTGCCTTATTACTTTCCAGATATATTGAAAAGTTCAAATGGTTTAAATTAATAAATTAAAATTAAAAAACAAAAAAGAGAAGCTTTAAACGGCAGCAGTTAGTGAGCTGCCGCTGCCAGCTGCGTAGACACCCTAGCAGCGCCGCGTGTGCAGCAGCAGGGTCACTTCCGCGGGCCGCAGCAGCGCGACAAGATTAGGCTTATTTAATTCTTTTTGTGGAAATAAATAACAAATAAACAAAAATTTATATTAAATATTGTTCCTCTGCAAACCCCAAACCCCCAGGGGCCCCCAAAGGGGGCCCCTCGATGTCTGCACGCCTTTGCTGCCTTGCAGCGGCAGCAATAGCAGCAGCAGCAGCAGCAGCTGCTGCTGCTGCTGCAGCAGCCGCGCATGCATGCCCTGCATGCGAAACAGCGCGGGCAGGGGCGGCTTGTGGGGTCCCTGGGGGCCCCTCCCTCTGCTGCAGCACTGGGATCGCTGGGCTCGAGCGATCCCAACGATCCCAGACACCCCACAGCTGCTGCAGGTGTTTGCTGCTTCCTGTTGCTCTCAGGTGTACGTACACCTGAGGCCCGAGCGCGGCGGCGCAGGCCCTTGGCCTTGCCGAACGGCACCAACAAAACCGCATGCAGTTTGCTGCTGCTGCTGCTGCTGCTGCAGCAGCAGCAGCAGCAGCGCTAGAAGAGCTGCTGCAGCCGCCTGCCGTTGCGGATGTGAGGGTTTGGCGGAGTGCCCGGGGGCAGATGCACAAGAGCCATAAAAACCTCCCTCCACAGCAGCAGCAGCTGCTGCTGCTGCTGCTCTTCTGCTGCATACATTTTGACTAGGGCTCTCCCCTGCTGCAGCAGCTCCAGCTGCCGGCTGGCTTGCTGCTGCAGCTGCTGCTGCTCGCGCTTTAGCTGCTGCTGTTGCGCCGTTTCCTCTGCAGCCCCTACCTCGCCCGCCCCTTCCCCGCGCTGCTGCTGCTGCTGCTGCTGCTGCTGGTTTAGCAGCAACTTGTTTTTGGTGTTAATGGCATCTCTTTCAATGCAGCGCAGCTGGCAGCTCAGGTGTGCTGCTTTGGCCCTGAGGACATGGCTGTTAACAGACTGCAGCAGCAGAAAGAGATTATCATAAGTTTGGGAAAGAGACAAAGTTGCTGCTGCTGCTGCTGCTGCTGCACCTTCGCCGCTTTGTCTCTTTTCTGCTTCCAGCCGCGCAGCAACTCCCCGCAGCTGCCAGTCAAAGCGCAGCTCGCTCCGGTCCACAAAGTCCCCGTAAGAGCTGCTGCTGCTGCTGCTGCTGCTGCTGCTGTCGGCAGCAGCGCTGCTGCCACCCCCTGCGCCCGTCACACCTGCGGCGGGGGGCAGCTGCTGCTGCTGCTGCTGCTGCTGGAGTTGGTCTTCCGAATGCACCCGACTTTGCGCTGGGTCCGCCGCATCTCCCCCGCCGCCGCTGCTGCTGCCGCTGCTGCTGCTGCTGCTGCTGCTGCTGCTGGAGAGCGTGGGCAAGTGCCGCGTGGGGACCCTGGCGAGGACGAGGTGTCTGCCGCCTTTGCTGACGAGGCGTTTTTCGGCTGCTGCTCTGCTGCTGCTGCTGCTGTGGGCGGCCTGCAGCAGCAGCAGCAGCTGCTTGCTTTGCGTCTCTATTTCTTGCAAATTCGACAACTTTCTGTCCAAAGCTGACAAAGAAAATCTTTCTCCGTGAATTGTGTAGCAGCGCTCGAGTTCCGACAGAGACGGCAGGTCATCGCTCACCTGCAAGCAGCAGCAGCAGCAGCAGCAGCATGGGTAGCAGCAGCAGCAGCAGGAACGACGGCAGCAGCAAGCGCAGCAGCGGCAGCAGCAAAGACAGCAGCAGCAAGGACAGCAGCAGCAGCAAAGACAGCAGCAGCAGCAGCAGGTACCTTGTCCAAGGAGACTCTAAGGAGAAAGTCTTCGTCGTCGCAGCTGCAGTGAATTGTGAGGAGACACAAATTCAAAGGGACAGAAGGCTCAGCTCCGGGAGAAGCAGGCCAGGGGGGTTCCCAGTCTGCGTCGTTTGCTGCTGCTGCTGCTGCTGCTGCTGCCGTTGTTGTTGCTGAGCCTGACGGAGGCCCGAAGCTGCCGCTCGTTGCTGCGGCACTAGGTTCCCCGGCAGCAGCAGGAGCAACTGTTGCTGCTGCAGCAGGTATGCTGCTGCTGCTGCTGCTGCTGTCGCCGTGGCCGCAAGAGTCCGCAGTGGGCAGCGACTCGCCGCCCACTGGGCCTTGAGGTGCAGCAGCAGCAGCAGCAGGACCAGCAGCAGTGCAGATGCAATCTGCAGCGCCGCAAGACGGCTGCTGCTGCTGCTGCTGCTGCTGCTGCTGCTGAATCTCAGCCTGTCTCCTGCGGATAGCAACTTGCTCTCGCGTCACGAGTCCGATCCAGGGGGCACAGCGGAACCGCTGTCTCTTCCTCTTTTTCTGCTGCTGCTGCTGCTGCTTCTGCTGCTGCTGCTGCTGCTGCGGAGCAGCAGCATACAAAGGAAGCTGGTTGGGGTTCAGCCGGCCATACAGCAGCCCCAAGCAGAAGCAAACTGAATATCCCATTTCAAAACGAACTGAGCAGCTCCCTGAGCCTGAGAATAAAAGAGGAGACACCTTAAATGCTGCTGCAGCAGCAGCAGCAACAGCAGCAGCAGCGGCAGCGGCGAACGCGAGAGGAGCGAGGGGGAGGAGCACCGCGCAGCAGCTGCAGCAGCGGCGACAGAAGCAGCACGGGATCTCGGCCCAGCAGCAGCAGCAGCAGCAAACTCGCACCAGCAGCACAGCAGCAGCAGCAGCGCCTCCTCCCCTTCCGCAAGGAACAGTCCGCCGCGGCAA